TCTACATCTGATGAGCAGAGCGGAAAAGTCTGGAGACATGGAGATAGTTCAACATCTGCAGGACGAGGAGGCGACATGAGTTTCAGGGTTTAACATCTGAGGATACATGTTGGTTCCAGGATTTTACATTTTGGTGAAATAAATAATCAAGGAAACGTTTCTTCTCTCTGGACTGAGTCCTGCTGAGTTCTCTCTCCTCCTTCATTTTCTGGTTCCACAGAGCTGCAGGACTTTATGCTGAAACATGAACCTCAGTGAAGGAACATGAGACAGGAACCTCTAAAATGCAGAAGTTCTAAATCAATCAAGTAAAAATAATACAGTGTCCAATTATGCAAAGAGAAAAAGAGCTGTGTGCTGCAGCAGGTTGATGCAGATCAGCGTCACGCCATCAACAGCCAGTTCACATACAACCAGAACCGTAGGAAATAAACTGGGATCGTGAACTGCTGCAGTGATTCTGTTCTTCAGGTTTACAGTCTGGAATAAACTGATTGGTCCTGAAATAATGTGATCGACAGGAAATGTGAATGAAGTTTGGAAGTCTCACTGTGGAGACAAAAACACAGCAAACACCAGATGTTGTCAGAAGGTTTCACAGCACAGAGCTGAGCCAGAGTTCATTCACTGAACAGACGATTTAGGTCCATCAGCACCAATCCTTCAGACTCGTACTGTAGAAGGTTCTGCTATTTCCACTGTGGAAATAAAGGCTTGCTTGTGAACTAAATATTGAATAATTCTTTTCCTGACGAATCCAGGGTGACAACAGCTGACAGCTGGTTTCACACACCAGCAGCTGCACACCTGTCACAGGTACCTGGCCTCTGATTGAGGACTCACCTGACGCTGAGCCGTCTGCAGCAGGAGGGGCGGGGCCACAGGCGACGGGGCTCAGGTGTTCGGTGATGAAGGTGAAGAGGTTCTTTAACCAGGTGGACTCCTGCAGAAGAGAATCAAACAGCAGGATCAGTGGATCATTCAGAATCGGTCAGAACCATTGATCCCAGCTGAGCTGCAGTCACAGCTAAACGACTTTATCATGAATGAAATTCTGCAGCAGTGAGTGCAGCCGGACCGAGCCGGATCCGACGGAGGTTCTGGTTCAGATTCTCTGCTGTTTTTCCTACGGAGCTCCTGCTGTGACTGACCGCCTCGCTGCGGGGCTGCAGCAGCTCCAGCAGCCGCTGCTGGGGGTCCATGAGGTCCGGCCGGCCGGGCCAGCTGCTCCGGGTACCGCTCCGATGTAGAAACACGATCTCCCGCTGAAAGCGTCAAACTGCCACACTTCCGGTTCTTCGTCCTCCTCTTCCTGTTTAGGGGCTGCAGCGCCACCTGCTGTTCGGAGGAAGCAGCAGAACCGACGGAGGATCCGTTTCCAGGACCAGACTGAAACCTAAAACTGATGCCGAATCTCACAGTTTGTTTAAACACTGGACTCCACGGGCCGTTCTGCTCCTGTTCTGGAGAACTTATGCAGGTCCTGTAATAATATCTTCCTCTGCATGTTGTGAGACCGGACACACTTCACAGCTTTTAAGAACCATGACGAAAGTTTCCAAGAGTCCAAGAACCTGACTGGTGTGTTTTCACCACAGTGACGGAACGATCGAGGTGCAATTTATGTGCTCTAAAGAAGTTCTCAGAAGGTTCTGCAAAGTTCTACTGATGTTTTCAGCTGGAGGTGTTGTTTTAGTTGCAGAATGTTCCTCTGAAAGGCAGGAAAACGGAAAATTTTCTAAAAATGTTTGGTGGTAACCTTGTTAGAACGTTGTGACTTAACGTTCTCAGAACTTCATGTTGCACTGAAAACGTTCCTCCTTTGTTATCTGGATCATTGTGTGATTATTTCATAGATTTTATAATGTGTTCTTCAACAATATCCCCAGAACATCCTCAGAACATGTAGCCACAACGTTCCACCTTTGTTAAATCACATTACAGGAACGTTGTCTGGGAAACATTTAAAGTTCATTAGAGAATGTGTCTTCTGTAATGTGGCCGCTCAAGAACATCACCAACACATCCTCAGAACATCCAGAATGTTCCACCTTTGAGCTTTCAGGTAAGCGTGATTTTATTCTGGATGACTCGTTTGGTCGATACCACATCAGAAAACAGAGACATGTTCATCACAGTTCACAAATCCCAAACTGGCATGTTGGAACATGTTGTTCTGTCTGAAGAACCCAAAACATTACACATGTTCTCATGAAGGAACCCAGAAATGCTGCAGATTCTCATGTTGACATAAAAGCTGTTAACCTCAGTGTCTCCAGCTGTTGGGCCATTCATGGATCCACAGGTTCACTGAAGGTCTCAGGCTCTACGTTCCACCTCACAGTGACTGATGCTGTGTTTGCAGACATGGTTCTTCATGGAACCAAAAATGGTTCTGTGGCATCACTGTGAAGAATCATTGTTGGTGCAGTTTGTTGCGGGCAGCTCTTGGTTTGTCGCTACAGTCTGCAGAATAAATCTGATTTCAGCCGTTTGGGTTCCGTCCAATCAGACTGTAGCTGTCCTCCGTTTAAACATCAGGAACCAGTTTAAAAATCAAATGTTGTTAAAGTCGTGTTTCGGTTGTAAACTTTAGCTTCAGTCCATCACAGGAACAGAAGCTTTACTCCGGTGTCACTTGACCTCACCTGTCCGTCGGGTCAACAGGTAAACAACAACAGGCGGACGCAGTGATGTCACAGCGAGCATGTCTGTAGGTGGGCTGCTGCTGCTGATCCTGCATCTCCCTCAGATTCCAACATGTGCTCATGACCAGACGAGGACGAGGAGCTCACGCAGGTTCTCTGCTAAACGGAGGTTCTACAGAACTCTGCAGTGGAATGCTGCTTCACACTGTAAAACCATCACGTCTTTAACATTCCAGCTGGTTTTTCTTCGTGGCTTCCTGTTATTTTTGTAAAAAGATGTAAAACAACCAAAATGTGACTCAAGAGTGTAAATGTGAGGGAACATACAGAAGGTTCCTCCTTTGTTCTTGTAGAACATCACCTGTGTTCCTGACAACATCTTCATGTTGACCTTAGAACACCACATTCACGTTATAGGAACATTACTGGATGTTAGGAAGAACTATTAGAACGTGGAATGTTCTCTAAACATTGTGGAGCTGATCTCTAGATGTACTCAGTTCATTTTCTGTGTCTTTACCTAAAAACTCACTGACGCTGTTGACTGAGTGTCCGGCAGCTGAAGACCGTCCGTGATTAACGGTCGATTAATTGATGAAACATACTAACATCTATTGAACATTCTTCATCAAGCCTCCGCCGCTGCTTCTGTCGACCCTCCTCTATCTCTCCTCTCATTGGTCGTTTCGTCGACGTACACAGATTCTGACCAATCAGGTGCGGGTATACAGACTAGCCCCACCCTGTTGTGAGCATCTAATTCCCGCCTTCGTAGCTCTGGAACAGGCTTTGACTTACCGCCATTTCAGCCAATCAGAGTTGAATATTCAGCGGAGCCCCGCCCAGGATGGCCAAGCATGGCCCCGCCCCCTGAATAGGAATAGCCAACGGGGGCGTTGTTGGGGGGCGGGGCCACGCTGGAGCTCGACCCAGTTTGAAAGTGAACCAACGGCTCCAGTCGCAGCTTCAGCCCCCAAACAACAACAACAAGAGCCCGAAGCCCGAGACCCGGTCCCAGTCTGCTGCACCTGTAGCCGGCCCTCCTGACGAGTGAGTACCGCTGTTATCCTCCGCTGCGGGGTTGGGGGACACATTCGTGGGTTTTACCCGGGAATCAGCGGGCTTTGATTTGCCGGGTGACTTTTTTTTTCCTGCCGTGCGAGCTTCGGTGATAAAAGCTCCACGAACGAGGCTGGAAAATGGGAATAAAATGGCCGCTGGGACGGTGGGAATGTGGCGGCGGTGATGTTTGTCCGCCGCTCCGAGCCTTTGTGTACGTGCACCCGGGGGGACTGCTCCAGACGTGTCATTGTAAACACGAAACGCCCATCTTGGAGTAGGAATGCCAGGAAATAGCCTGGTCCTGTCCATATAACGCTGACCTCTCCAGAGCTTAGCCGAGCCCTTGGTTGAAAATGCGCAGCTGTCGTACTGCCTCCATGTTTCCATTGCAGACGCGGCTGTTCGGGATAAAAGCGGCGCTGCGGTTAAAAATAAAATCCGTTAGTTACCGGGAACACTGGTGCCGTAGTTCGTACCGTGTGTGCGGGTTAAGTGTCTGTCTGTGGCCAGTTAGCTGCAGCTAGCGGAGGGGGATGGGGCGGCTAGCTCCGCAGAGGGCGGGAAGCAAATGGTGGCCCATTGTTCTGTCGGAGCTAGCCGTTAGCCGGCTAGGCTAACTGCAGCACTCACATCTGCACGGAGACGCGGCGAGCGGCGCTTTTCCTCCACCTCTGCGGCTCACACAGCTCCAGCACCGGCCGGCAGGACGGACCGGGCTCCCGCCGGAGGTCCCGGCATGCAGCCGCTTAGAGGAGGCTGCAGCCCGGGTTTGCGGGCCTCGGAGCTCCCTGACGGAGAAAATGGACCCCAGTCTGGTCTCTTTGTTATTCACAGCGAGCCTCGGAGCAGCCGGGCCGCCCGGAGCCCCGCAGCCGCCGAGAGATGAGGAGGTCCAGCTCCATCTGAGTTTCATCACACATTTACCTGGTTTCTTCACCAGGTGAACAAAGGAGAGGCTCAGGTTAAAGGGTCACCCCAGACACATGAACGAGAAGCTGCTGAGATACCTGAA